TGGCGCGACCATGTCTGCAAGATGCAGGGAGCTGCGCAGAGCCGGCCCAACAGCCAGGAAGACAAGGGTCGATGTGAAAGACCCACGCCTGTTGACCTTGAATTGCATCTTTGCGGCTGGAACACCTCCAACCCCCGCAGCCCTAAGCCATCTGGCGTATGTGAGCGGAAACAAAAAAGCCGGGCGGTTCGCCTTTTGCTTTCGCTGCTTGAGACACGGAGTCTCATCACTCGCTGAGGACCAGACCTTTGGGGCAAAAAGCGCAATCCCAATGCTCTCGCATTCCTTTTGTTTTGGCATGGCAATGCTCGGCTTTGCTTCAACCATCGAAAAAGGCTACCCTCAACAAGAGACGCCCGCATAGTTCTCAAGAGGCCACTTCAGATGCAGAGCAGGCCTGCTGCGCAGGTAGTTTTGCGTGTGTGAGTCTTGATTTCCCGCGGAACTGCGCAGGCAAGGCGTAGGCCAAGTAATGAGTGCTCAGCAACAGCTGCGGCTCATAAGGTGGCGTAGGCAACGCGTAGACTTACAATCCAAGTAAGGCAGCAATGCTGGATTTGTCTTGTTTAAGGGGCCGCCCAAATTGGTTTCGGTGTTGTTCCTCTTGGTTTCCGTTTCAACCTTTAGGTGCGGAATGCAAGCCACCAACCTGCACCCACCCGTGCCCTGGTTTCCAGATTTTTGATGAGTGTTTCCTTGAGAGAAAAGAATCTATTTTTGAGCCTTTTGCCCGCCTTGTTTGAACATAGGGGGTTCTGGTCTCGTCGGGCTATTGGGGCTTCTGACATGCTTAGGTTTTGCATTTTTTATTTTTTAGTTATCCAGTGACACATCAACCCACAACAGCATCCTTCAACTTGGTCACTTGGGATTTGCCTGTTGAACGTTCTCTAGATATGTAGCCGACACAAATTACCATTTAATTTCATCTGCCCAGATGCGTAAAAAGCCAGCTCACGGAGGAGAGGAGCTCACCCACAAAGGTCTCTTACTTGACCCCAAGTTTTAGCTGTGTAGAGTTTGGAATTTGACATTTGTTAATAGAAGTTGCTCACTTGTGATCGAGCAAGTGCGATTTCGCACCAGATCGTAGTATTAGTTCGGCAGTTCAGCAGTTTTTGCCGGGGTTTCGATTGCAACATGCCGCCCTATTTCCGTCTTTCTACCCCTGTCAGGATCTTCCGGAGCCTCAGGCCGGGCTCAGGGAGTGCTACAGCCGTTGTCAAAATGTTGTGGTTGTTCATGTCTGCAAAAGGCGAAAAAGAGTCTTGCTACATGGTACTCAATCATATCTGCATGTGGCCTTATTTTTTTTTTAAGGGCATCCCGTTTCCTTGTCCGCAAAGAATGGGGTGCTGAATAGCTCTTTTTGGTCGCCTGTTCAAGGCAACCAAAAGGCTCCCCCCCAGCAAAAAGGCAACAACGCACACCTTCATTTAGCACTTGTCTTACTCTGGGTTCTTTGCTGGAACGCACGAACCAGCCCTGGGGCTTACTCTGGGTCCTTTGCTATGGCAATAAGGGTGTCCGACTGGACCTTCAGACGGAGAAAGAATGCATAGGGGCCCTCGCTTTTCCTGATTTCGACTTGAGGACTTGAATCGCTGTTTGGGTTTGGACATTTTAGTGCATAAAGATTTAAGACTTTTTGGCTCAACTCAGGAAATGAGTTTCCGAGTGGGCATGGGATCCCTGCCCTGTGCCAATCTCGCCGGTCCTCCAGGGCATCTGCACCAATTCGATGCATTCGATCCCAATCCTGTGAGATCGCAAGCTTTTCATGTTTGTCCGCAGGGAATATCTAAATGAGTCTAGAAATCAGGGACAAGGGGATGATTTACAGGTCCTTCCCTCCTTCCCTGAGAGCCAGCAAGTTGCCATCAATGGAGCTTTTCCCATCCATGTTGCATGAAACTGGTGCATAAAACTCAACCAAACAAACGGGACATGAAGGTGACCTAGCGTGCTTCCGCTTTGGGGCACGGGTCCGTCCTGCTTGGCGGTACAGATTCCTTGCTCGAAGTGGTTTCCGCATTGGATGATTCCGCTTATTCGGCTACTGAGACCGTCACCAAGGTAGTTCGCTTGCGCCAGCCAATCGAAATGCAAGCCACTGACCTGCGCGTGCTTTTGGCGAGTGCTGGGTCTCCCGGGCGCTCAAATAGTGCCTTGCTCGGCACCGGTTGTCAGCGCAACTACCTTAGCGTGAGAGTGAGACCCGTTCGGCATGTGTAGGAAATGGGTGTGTCTTTTTTTGGGATACCCGTTTGTCGGGGTGGATTGAAGAGAAACTAAAGGAAGACATAGGAAGACCACCATTCGTGGGAGGGTACCCCTATTTTGAGACAAATCCAACTATGTGTCATTGTGTAGCAGGCCTCAACTCCAAAATCATGTCATTGGTCTGGATGTGGCCATTTATGATTGACAACTTCTCTTCCGCAATGCCTAGATCTATTCGGGGTTTCTGATTTGTGCTTGGCTCAGTAAACGCTAAACTTTGAGCCTTTTGAGGGGTCCCTCTTGCGTTTGTACCGCATAGCAGGCAAAGAGGCAATGCCAGTTTGTTGAGAAGCGTCGCTTTGTCAACCCCCTGTCCAGCTTGTTCAGTGGCTCGCCTGTCGGGTTCCTTGTAGGAAACGGGTCGCTTTCCTGGCAGCTGGGTCCAATTTGCGTGTCGCTTGCGCCAGGCACCGACACAAGGCACGGGAGCGGTTTAAACTGCGTATTCCGACACGTCCGGCTGAGAAATGACATTTTGTGAGTGCATAATATGTCACCTGACACACCGTCCCAGAGGGTTGACATGGCCAATGGATGTCCTTTTCGGTTGGGGCGGTTCAAAGCTGGTGCATTCCACCATTCCACGATTCAAACGCATTGCTTTTTAAAGGTCTGTTGGCTGCACATGGATGGATTCTCTGGCTCCATTTTTCTGATTACCAATCCAATGATTCCATACCCGCCAGGAGATTTCGGGAGGTAGCTGATATCTCAGGCGGTTGTAACCCGCGTTACTTGGCTTCTCCAAATCCTAGCCGTTAATCGCGCGAAGTGACTGAGTTGCATGCTTGCTTGCCTGCCTGCCTGCCTGCCTGTTTGTCTGCCTGTCTGTTTGTTTGTTTGTCTGTCTGTCTTGCTTGCTTGTTTGCTTGTTTGCTTGGTTGCTTGGTTGCTTGGTTAGTTGCTTGGTTGCTTGCTTGCTTGCTTGCTTGCTTGCTTGCTTGCTTGCTTGCTTGCTTGCTTGCTCGCTTTGTTTGTTGGTTTGTTTGGTTGCTTTGCTTGTTTGTTGGTTTGTTTTGTTGTTTTGTTCTTTGTTTCTTCGTGTGTGTGTGTGTGTGTGTTTTTGTATGTTTGGTTGGTTGGTTGGTTGTTTGCTTGCTTGCTTGCTTGATGCTGCTCTTGTTTCCCAGCAGTGGCTGGACTCAATGCACAACTGCAGAAGGTGTTAAACTAGACTTGTCTTTTCTCTTCTTTTGCCTTGAACGCATTTCATGCAACCAACTCCAAACAAAGACACTCAGTCAGTTTGAACCACCAAGCACTCGATGCCATCCAGCTTGACTTGCTGCTTGGTATCCCTCACGGATTTCCGGTGAGGTTGTCCCCTTTGTTCGGAGGGAAGCCATCCAACAAACACGGGCAATTTATCCTTACCAACCTTGAAGAATATGAGCATGTGTACATGTCTGCGGGGTAGAACATATTCCATGCAACTTGGTGCATATGTAGACTCATAGTTATCTACTTTAATATATATATATATATATACATGTATATATATATATATGTACATATGTGTATTTACATATGTATTTAGACCTTGCATGATTGACCCAGGCCTGCGTCGCACACTCCTTCCAAGCGCATGGTCTGCTGATATCCTTCAACAGATGGCAGGTGGGCTTCCCCTTGGATGACCTCGAGCGCACAGCCCAGCTCGTCGGAGAGTGGGACAGACGGTCTGTCAGTCGCAAGAGATGGGACATTTGCCCTAGGCGCCTGGTTAGTCTTGACTCCGCAGGAGATTAACACATATTAACCAAAGGAAGTGAAGTCAAAAAGTACTATCTCCCATGGAGCCCTGATGCGGCAACATGGTGAGTGCAGGTTGATCATTTGGTGACGCGAAACCGTTGATTGACTATGGTACTGAACGGCTACCATTTAGCACCGCGTCGCCAGATTTGGTAAGAGTGGGTCATTTTCCCAGGCAAAGTTCACGCATGTAGCCAGGACTTGGACGCGATTCAAACCAAAGGTCCCGCAGGCAAAACGATTTGGTGGGGTTGCCTTTTGACCCCTTCCTTTGCAAGGGTTTTCCCATGGCCACTGGGGCAGGGGTCGAGGCATTTGACACTGGTCCAAGTTGTTGCAGCTTTGATGGTCAATGTGCATTGCGCTCCGCGCGAAGCATGTGGAACGTTTCGCTTCTACGGCAACATGTGAGTGCAATTGCAGGAAGTTCTCTTGTTCGGGAACGATTGGAAACACAAAACCAGCACCTGCCAACCACTGCTTTTGGGGCGTTACTTGGACAAGGAGGAGGAGGAGGAGGAGGAAGTGAAGGGAAGTGACGAATAAAGGGAGGAGAAGGAAGATGAAAGAGATGTCCATGAGAAAGCGAGTTATCTCTTCCCCGTCCTTCGTTTACACGTCCAACATAAGGACGAAACGACTGGGAGATATTTCCACATGTCAGCCATTGTAATGCAACTGTCCAGTTGGCCCCTCTTTAAGGTGATCGCCTTTTTGCCTGCAAGTTCGCAAAACATGCCAAGCCGAGGTGCTTGGCGTGAAGCATTTGATGCATTATTATGAGGGAATTGGAGCTTTTTATCGACTGTCAAGTCAAGGGGGCACAAATCTAATGGCTGCCCACTCAAACATACCAGGAACGTTCAGCACACTCCGGTTTGGGGACCCACCAAACACACCAATATTTGTTGGCTCAAGCGAGTGACCACCTCTGTGTAAAGATCCTTTGACTTGGACTCATTATGGCTGTGGCTCGCACCCTCGAGCAATTCCAGGCAGGGCTGCTCAGAGCTTCCTAAAGATGATCAAATCACATGGGTTGCAAATTGGCCAAGGTGTTCCTTTGGTGTCCTTTGGATTGGTTTGAGATCAGGGGGACATTTCAGGGTGCTACCTTCTGTGAGTGACAGAGTGGCCAAGGGAATCCCCAAAGTGCTAAAGTAGTCATGGTATTTAAAATATGTTTTGTTGTATTACAGAAAGGGGGGGTTTTGCACACCCATCAGGCCCGGGGCTATACGGTGCTCACCGTCCAGTCCTGCCGGCGTGGGCTGCCGCTGGTCCCAACCGACGCGACCATGGAGGTGGCTAGGCTTTAAACCCGCATCATGATCAACATGATCAACCCGGGGTCCCCTTCAGAAGCCCAAGTGCTTCAACAGTTTGGCTGTGGGTCAAAAACATGTACCAAAATGGCACCTTGGTAAATGGAACCAAACACTATATCCTGCGTAACCCCAAGTCGTTAATCTTGAGCCACTGACATTTGTATCGAACTCACAGCCATTTGTATCTAACTCATGTGTGAACAAGGGGCCGATTCGCCCGGCTTCCACTTAGGCGGCCACGGTGTCCATCAGCGCCGGGAAGAGCGCGGGCTTGGAACACTGGACGCGCTTCAGCCCCGACATGGCCCCACATGGCGGGGAAGGTGCTGGGGTGACCACCCATCTGGGTATGGGTCAAAAAATACACCACCAGGGCACCGCAGGTTTTTGTCCTTGTTACTAGAGTTCCATTTTGGGTACCTATTTTTGACTCACACCCATCTGGTCCAATTCTCTAAAGGGGAAACCGTTGAAGGAATCGGACCAAGGGTAGTTGACCATGGTTAGCCCCCAAACTGTTTACCTCTTTCAAGCACTTTGTGGGCGACCATGGTCAACTGCCCCTACAATTCCTTTAAAGCTCAAAGCAGGCAGGTTGACCTCCTTGGTAGAAGGGACCGTTTTTCAACGAGCCCAAAGTGTTTCGTTTAAGCCATGTCCAGTTCAAGCCATTTCCAACCACCCTTCAAGCAAAGCCAAATGGAGGTTGCAAAACCTCCATTGTTTCAACCCCGGACCCTTTTAGAAAGGAACTGAGAGGGAGGTTGCTTTAAAGGTGAAACCATGATTTGAGCATGGGATGGAACTGCGCAACCCCGGAAGGCAGCCGCTTCTGCGTGTCGGACTACGTGCGAACCTTCGCCTCGCGCCTGGGTTTGGAGCTGGCGGCCTGCAATTCCATGGACGGCCAGCGACTGGTGCCCTACCAGTGCGTGGTGGACCGCAAGGACACCGTGAGATAGTCTTGTCCTGCCTGGGGTTATAACTCTATGTCAAAGGGCACCAAACCGCTTTTCAGGTCCCTTTTCAAGTTCTCTGAAGTATTCTTTGTGGGACTAAAGGGAACAATCGCCAAGCCGCGCAAGGAGTGGGAGGCCGTGAAGGACCGCTTCGTTGAGGCCTTCCTGTTGCAGAAGAAGGCCTACCGCAGGGCCAACGGCGGATCCACCGCCCCGAGCTTCCACGCGGACGTGCAGCCGCGCGTCCTGGACGTCGCGGCGGTGGAACCGAAGAGCCTCAAGGCGCCGTCGCATCGGGTGGTGGTGCGTCGGACCTTTTTGGAGGTGGAAGAGGAAGAGGAGATGATGGTCGCGCGCCAGGTGCGGCGGCCCAAGACCACAGGCATCGTGGAGTTCGCAGTCCTGGCCTTTTGAGGTGGAAAGCGAGCTTAGGGCGCGGCGCCCCGCGCGAGGCGGTGCATATTCGCGCACCTCGCGCGAGGAGTTGCGACCTTCGAAGTGCCCAAAAACTGGTCTTCGGATTTGCAGGACGCGTGTGTCTTCTGCAACATGATAACACACACAATCAGTTTTCGGCTGGAATTTGACTCATCGTGCCATGCCGGACGGTTCCTGTACAGAGCCCCCCATAGATGGGCGGATCCGGCCAATGGCCGAGGGCGAGGGCCGTAAGTTTTGTATTTGTACAGCCCGTGGCCTGCCGAAGTGCGGCACACGGTATCGCGACGCACTCAGCCATGGGGCCGGCGCGCATTCAAACACACACAGACACACAGACACTCAGACACACACACACACACACACTCACACACATTAATACACTTAGGTGCATTTTGCTTGGATGTTAGGACTTTAACTGTTTGTCAACTCATGTGTTTTCCACTAAACCACTAAAAGTTAGGGGAGCAGAAAGCAGTACAAACATATATATATATATAATATATATAGATATGTATACTGTATATGTACAGTATTTCTCTATGTTTGCATAGTTACATGTGAATAAACATATAGCTGGTTGGCACATGTTCAATCAACATACATGCCCAACAGGTAGCGTTTCTGGAACTGGGTTCTTAAAGTCATATCCTGGGGATGGATTCTCACGCCGCTGAAGGCCAAACGTGGCCACGAGTTTGTCATTTGCAGCTTGGGCCTGCCTTGACCAAAGCTGTACGTGTTGTTTGAGGATAGCCTGTTTGGGTGAGATTTACAGGGGGACCCAAACTCACAAATTTGAGGGGGTTCCCCTATTTGGACACCTACCCAGCGACGAATTGCAGTGTTGTGTTTTCCCTGAATCGTGTGTCTTTGTTGCTGATCAATGTTGCGGCTGGCATGCTTTTTTTTTAAAAAAAAAAATAACAACCCTGAATGCAACTGTTTTGGAACACCTGAGCGGCGTTTTTTTGGCCGCATGCTAATTTAGTATATAGGGAGAGGGACATTATTATTGAAAATGTGCACTGCGCCACACGCACGGAAGAATGCGGAAGGCTTCGAGGAAGGGTTTCCTTCGCGGAAGGCTTGTGGAAGCTTTGATTCATTGTTGCAGTTTGCGTGCGTGGAAAAGCACGGAGAAACGAGTACCATGGAAGCAGAAGGCACAAGAAGCGCAGCACTTACTAGAAGAGCAATTGCGAACAGCAAGCCAGGAAGACCAAACAGCCGGCGGATTTCGCGGAAGGTTTGCGGAAGGTTCTCCGCGGAAGGGTGTGTTTGCAGGCAAGCCTACACAGGCCGCGGCGAAGCGAAACACTACTGTCCTTCCTTACCAAAAAAGACTTTCTTTTCTGCGCCAATACTCGCGGAAGCAAATCTTGTAAAACATGTGCCGCAGAAGTTCGCGGAAGGGACCTCTTGGCCCGCGGCAAGGATGCGGAAGGTTCCGCGGAATCTTGAATAATGTCCAATCAAGTTTGTAGGGAATAAGAACCAACGCTCACCTGTCACCACATAGAAGCTAGGCCCAAAACCAGCCTGTAAAGGCAAACACACAAAGCTGCGTGGTTTACCTGCAATCACTGGCACTGTCCCAGGGTTCTTGTATGCGTCTACACACTCAAACAAACATGACCCACGATGGTCCACCATGATGTTGTCTTCTTCCGAAAAATCAAAACACGGGGCAATGCCCTGGTGCAAGAGTCTGTTTGGCAACCGGGCAAATCGTTCCAAGCAAGGCCTGGAGTGTTCAGAGGTTTGTCAGGGGTCAGCTGTTGTGTTGGTTTGACCCGAAATGCAAAATGCTTTGGAGATGTCCAGGTTCGACCTGATTGTTTGCACGTGTGCAGGGGTTCTTTGGGGCACCCAAGTATTCTCGCAACACATACGCTTCTAGAAACACAGGCGAATTTGTTGATTTCTCATTTTGTTTAGATATTCTTTTCAGAGGCCTTTCCCTGGCTGCTGGTTTTTGACCTTCAGACCTTGCGGTGGGTCTGACCCTTTCCAGGAGTGCGAAAGATGGGAAGGCAGAGGGATCCCGATCTCGCTGCAAGTCGATGCTAAGGCCGGTAGCGCCCTTGGACCGCCTCAGCGAGACTCAAGCAGCTGGCGCCTGAGATCTGATGTGGGCGCCGATGCGTCACCAAAACTTGCGGTTTCCCTTTGGTGTCACTTTTTAACCAGACCCTCCCACCAACAAACATGGAAGTGCACAGACCCCTGTAGAAAGACTACTTTCCTCTTGGAGAGGGCCTTTTTGCACTTCCATGTTAGTTGGTGGGAGGGTATCCTCAAAAAGAAGCACAGCCACGTCAAAACCTAGATGGCGACAATAAGAGCCTATAAACAAACGAAAAACGTGGGGATGTGGCGTACTGAAAAAGCCACACTTGCTCAGCAGTATCGTAGTGCAAAAAGGTTTTGCCCCTTAGAAGTTGCGTTTCCCAGGACTGATGAAACAATGGTTTGTTGATGTGAAACCCAGCGCAATGGACACTTACCTATCGGACGGTCCCAACCATAAATGGGCGCGGCTCCTCTGGTTCAACTTACAATTAGGCGAACGACATTGTCAGGAAGAGATTTGGTTTGCATCCTTACCAACAAAGATTCCTTAGGGCCAGATACCAAGTTCGGGAAAACACACCAACCCAGCTATGTTTGCTAGATTAATTTCACAGTTCACGGGGCCGTAGCCTGGTTGTTAAGGGCCATGGTTGGTTGCTACCAATTTTTGCAAACCCTGGTTGTTTCCGGGCTTGTGCTTGTTGAGTACTGTTGCCACCATTCGCGAAATATATTTTAACCCATCGAGGAGTCGCGTGTTCCGGGAGCAGAAATATCGATCAACCGCATCCAACCGCCAGCCAGGGTCAACCTTTCAAAAATATGATCTTGATCTTGATCACCCCTGCTCGATCAACGGCCAGCGTGGTTGGAATAACCAGCAGTGGGACCCTTCACCCACTGCTTGGTCAAGATATTCCAACTTCGGGACTTGGAGCCAGGTCGGCCCGGCTGGCGTCGCCAGCCCGACCGGAGGCCGACACTCGCACGATTGGGGCCATGGCGCGTAAATGGTAGAATGTCATTTGGCTGTGGGTCAAAACCAATGGTATCATTTTGGGGTAGGTGCACCACCCAATTTAGTCTATTTTAGTGGGGATTGGGATGTTCACTGGGGGTACGGGCTTTTGACCCACGGCCATTTATGGATTTCGATGATTGGGGATCCGCAACCCCCCTTTCCCTTTCGGTGTGGGGGCTCATAACGTTAAACGCGAAGGCTTACTATACGCACACCGGGGCCATTACCGAAAAGAGTTATATTTGAATTTAAGGTTGACTGGGCTTGAAACGTCATCCGGACAATGATGTTTTACGGAAACAATTACATGCTACAAGGCTTCGCATTTTTTGGGGGGGCATGCGAGCATGCGTCTTTGAGAGGTTCAGGACCGTTACTTTGGGGCCGCTTGGGAAGCACACGTCAACCACTACGCTCTAGGGATCTTTGCACCAAGATTGTCCCAAGTGTGCCAAGGATCACTCGGTGCATCCTCACTACTCGCAAAGTTGTGTCGACCGAAGGTGTGGGTGCTTTTGTACCACGAATAGCTTGTAACGAACCTACAAGCCGTATATAACCTTTATGCCAAAACACATGTATAGTGAGTATCACTCAGTTAGCACATGGAAGCCCAATTGTGGTCCACCCACTTTGATGGACATCTCCAAGTGTGTGTGCTACCATGTGCTACCTGTGCCCATTGGTTGGACAAATGATTGTTACTCAACAACTTTGCCCACCTTTTCTTGTAGCCAGGTTCCAGGAGACCAGCTCTCTATGTGCCACCGTGCGCTTGCGCCGATTCGATGCTTCGACTCGGTTCAAGGAAAATGGACCAAGGGGAAAACTGACAAGTTCTGGTTTGGTTGGGTGGTCCTGTGCCTTTGCTGTGTTGCCTCAATGCGTTTGCGTAGCTTCCAGCGTCTGTGTTTCCTGCCAGAGGATTCCTTGCTATCTTCTGAAGAAAGTCCAAGCTTACAAGGTACAAGGTGCGGGTGGACTTTGGGGTCTGAGGGACCCGCGAAATGATGGGCGCGGGGTGTTCGGAAAACCGCGCGCTCCAATTGCTCGTTTTGAGACATGACGTCCAAGGCTTCACTTCCTATAGCTTTCAGTAAGGGCCCTCCGACCCTCCGAACCGGCCTTGCTCTGTAGGACTCCCTCCCAACATGGAATGGCGCAGTTCCCGTTGGGAAGATACAGGGGCCCGTGCACTTCACTGTTGCTTGGTGTCGCGCGCTGAGGGCCTACGGGGTATATCTAGATTAATGTTGATCTCGTATAAATAAACCTATAGCGGATTGCTAGCGGTGGTGCTCTTCCAAAACGTGAAGTCTCTCCTCTTTATTTGGGCGCACGCTGCATCAATCTGCCAGGGGCTTGTTCATCCTGCGAGCCACTGAGTGCTAGCTGTGTCGCATCGTTCTTCCCTCAAAGGACACCATCAACCCTCACGAGCTTCGCAAAGACGAACTGGGCAACAAAAAAACTGCTGGCAGTCTATCATTGCCCACGTAGCAGGGCTCCAAAAACCGGGGAGCCCCCCAAGTTTCCCATGTCCTTGCAGAACAGCTTGGGTGTGTCTCCTCGGGGAGCCCCCAACATGGGCCCAACTGATCTGCCAGGTATTTGTATCCGGACGCCTTTCCGCGCTCGGCGAGTGACCAGTGCAAATGTGAGGTCTGCGGCTCAGTCTTTCGATAGATCCCCGAGTGCCCGAACTTTAAGATGTTTACGGAAGAGCATTTGGCTGTGTGTGTGCGTGTGTTTGTGTGTGTGTGTGTCAAAGTAGGGGGCCCCTAAAATGTGTGGTTTCCTAGTGGCTTCCCTTTCAAACCACCTACAAGGGGTACCCTGAAAACAAACCCATCTTAGGGGCAACGCTCGGTGTCCCGAT